ATTACCTAAGTAGCAAATGCAATATCATCATTTACGGTAGCTGCAGGATTCATTGTTCCAGTTCAATAGAACATCAAGACTTGCATTAGTTGTTAATTGTTCTTCTGATCATAAAGAATGAATGAATATATTAAAAACTAAATAGACATTCTTGGATGGAAAGAATGATTTTTCACATGTGATATTTTTCATGTGATTTTCATTACTTCCATCTAAATATATACTTGCTTTAAATACCTATGTCTCCTGAACAAAGCATTCAAAAGAGAACTACAATTAAAAAGAGGAATTACATCGATGTTATAGGTATCCTGACACCATAGAGAAGGGCCTTTTACAAACACATAAAAAGCATTTCACATACTTTTCTAAGGGTTCCCAGGATGCCCACCAAGGAGGAAGAAGCAACTGTGATTAGAAGATATATATCTAGAAATAAAACATTTTCAGTCAGAAGAGAAAAGAAAAAAAAAAAARAAGAAGAAGCTTAGAAAACCTCTAGCTACACACACTGGCATCTTGTTCTGGCTTTGAGTCTGTCGGATGGGTGCTGATCCGCAGCTGTGGGCCGTGGACTCTCTCATTTGACAGGACATGAGAAGTCCAAGATCAGAAGTCCAATATCACAGGCTTTGAGACATTTATCTTGCAGTTCCTTCCCCTGCCTTGGATTTAGGTGAAGTGCTTTGTCCCCAGTCCTGGAGCAGTACACCTGGCAAGTCTAAAATAATGAACCTGGTGACCCTGGTCTAATGATATATTTGAACAGGAAATAGGATGCTTGAACACTTCCCATGGGTGTAGGCTCTCTGTGACCTGAGTAAAATGGAGATAACCATAAGTAGACTTGTTCACCTCACAAAAATTAAATGTGGATCATCATATTGACAAATTATGAAGACGCTTTGATATCAGAGTAATAGTCATCATACCAATTGCTTAGCTAAAGTAAAGCCATGCACCTTTAAGATGCAGTGTAAAACAGCTAACTTTTTTATTCTTGACCCGCAGTTCTTAGAAAGCAACAAAAAAAATGCTTACTCAAATGTCACACATATAAAATCTTGACAAACCTCAGAAAGTAACAGCTAAGTTTTGGCTGAGAAAAAGACACCTTCCATTCCGCATTGCTTTTAGATGCACACATATTCACACAAGTGCCACATTCACAAAGAATGATCACACACAACTGCACAATGCTTAGCAGGCTACAGCTTTGACGGGTCAGGTCYGTAGGTGCAACCAGGATATACGTGACAGGGGAAGAGAACACATACGTGATTGTGTTCTGAATGACTGAGGCCTGGTAAGATTTAATCCATGGAGGAAATTTGCCATTGCCTTACATAGGACAAAATTCTACCCACATGTTATCTGCCTATTAACTAAAGAAAAACTCATCAGTGTATCATCATAGAAATTGATCTCTCTGTTACATGGCAAGAAGTTAGAGCAATGATGATATCAGTGCTCTAAGAATACTGAGTGTAATGCCAAGAGGCATTAACCTATGTTTAACTAAAGTCCTGAAAAATTAGGTAAATCTTTTCAGGAAAGGTAACATTTTATTACCTTCTACCTGCAACAAATACCTCATTTCTTACTGCCATAACTCTCCTGCTGGTACTGAAGAACAAAACCTGCATTTCTTTTACTCTTGAGTAACTCACATTGAGGTCATGTGCCTTCATGTCATCATCTGACTACATAGTTGCAATGACCAAATCCTGCAAGCCCAGCACAGAGGACTAAATGTAGTGCCTGAATCCTGCCAAGAAAGAGATGCAGCCTGTGAACAAATTATCACAGAATCACAGAATTTATGTTTTGAATTGTTGATGTTTTGATTGTTGAAATTATGTTTGGTTAAGAATACTCACAAGGGTCCAGGAAGAGGATAGCCAAGCAGGAGAAATTTTCTCRACTTCTCTGGCAGTACTAATCCTTATAACTGCCACATCATTAGTCTTTTATGAGTCATAACTTTTGTTGATTCAGTTTAGAAATGGCTGAAAATCCTAGAGCTGGTACTGTTCCATAGCATTTGAATTAATGATTGYCAAGATTGCCAAAAGCCCATCAAGTGCAATCTCATCCCAATAACCACTTTGCTTCATCCTCAGMATAATCTCTTGTGTTTTGAAAATATTTGGCCTTTAATCAAGTATGTTAAGCTGGTATTATGTCCATCCCCTCCTCTGCACATTTCTTTGCACTAAAAGAACAAGTTCAATCTATAAGCATGGGTCTCTTCATTCTCTGATTACTGATGTTTTCCTGTGGCATTCTGTACACTCAGTTTTRGTTGTACCTGCCCAGCTTTTACCACAACATAGTCCTATAGCTATGATTGTTTCTCAAAAATGTTTACTTTTCTTTATTAAAAGCAAATGTCATTAGGGCTTTTGAAATTACTAGAGATGCATGCACATCACATCACAGGAAACAGTACTGCATTCCAAGTTGAATATTTCTTAATGTGTTTGTTAACAGAACTTTGACATCTGCTTAATGCTTCCTTTACAAGAGTCTATGAGATCTCCCCTTTTGTATATCTGGTTCATCCCAACTATAAGTTTTTACATTTACAAAGAGATCATGTAGTAACTACATAACTTAAAGCTTCAGAAATAAAACCTTGCATAAAGCATTTGTTTATTATGGAAGCATATCTGCTATTTCAAAAACCTTTAATCATGTACATTGAGCTGCTGCATATACAAAAGCTATCCATCCACTGTGAAGCTACAAAGCAGTGAAGAAAAGTAATGGACTAAGAGACAGGGAGTTAATACAGAGATGTTCGCTTTTTGCCAATGCTACCAGCAAAGCACCAGTGCAATTCAGATGTTTTACTGGAGAACATTTTGGGCAGCCTAAAAAGATGCAGCAGCAATTCAAGTGTGTTTCTGAAACTTGCTTATAAAACCTGGCTCATGAACTATAAACTTTCACTTAGGATTTTTAACCCTTGGGTTGCCATATTTGTTTTCATTTTGTCAGTGCAAAGGAATCTGAAAGGGATGTCTATTAGACTTCACTCAGCCTGAGAGTTAATTACACAGTTTGGTCGACATTTGAAAATATTATGTTACCTCTAACAGCAAAATTGATAGAAGCTTGTTTCAAGCTCGCTTTACGTCATTATGGCAGATTAAATTAACTAATCATAAATTATGCTGGCTAAAATACATCTGTTATTCACTAAATCTAAGGAAGGAAAGGAAGATATTTTCTGAATAAAAAGAAATACAAAATAGAGAGTCTAAATGGGATGGCCAGCCTTCCAGTGATCCAGTTTAGAAAAAGGATAAACAATACCTGGAAAATCTCTTGTGCTCCTCAGGTGACAGAGCCTCATGAAGTTTTCTGGTGGATCCAAAAAGCCCTATTCAAGCTTAGTGAGCATGTACATTCTCAGTTCATTATAAGTCCCCTAAAAAGGAGTAGGAGTAGTTCAGCTGTTCCCAGACTCCTCRTCTATCACAGAATCACCGAATCACAGAATCACAGAATATTTAAGGTTGGAAGGGACCTCTASAGATCATCTAGTCCAACCTTCCTGCTCAAGCAGGCACACCTASAGCATGTGGCACAGGGTGGCATCCAGGCGGGTTTTGAAGACCTCCAGAGAAGGAGACTCCACARCCTCYCTGGGCAGCCTGTTCCACTGCTCTGTCACCCTCACAGGAAAGAAGTTGCTCCTCACCTGGAGACGGAACTTTCTGTGCTCCAGCTTGTGGCCGTTACCCCTTGTCCTATCRCTGGCCACCAGTGAGAAGAGCTTCTCCCCTTCCTCTCTGCATTCTCCCTTCCTGAACTTATACATATTAATCATATCCCCTCTGAGCYKTCTCTYCTCCAGAGAAAACAGGCCCAGCTCACTCAGCCTCTCTTCATACGAGAGATGTTCCATTCCCTTAATCATCCTGGTTGCCCTTCTCTGGACCCTCTCGAGAAGCTCCACGTCCCTCYTATACTGGGGAGCCCAGAACTGCACACAGTACTATCATCCCTGCTTTCTCAGTACTGAGCTTCCTTGGTCTGAACCCTTTCRCTTCATGCTTCCCTCCCATTTCATTTTCTCTGAACAACATTTCCCAGACCACTATCAATGTGCATACAGCTACAGAAAAGCAGTAGGAAGAAAATATTGGGAATTACAGGGAATCAGCAAGGGATTTTTTGCCCCACCACTGTGAGCAAGACAATTTTGAGAATAAGTCCAGCAACAAAAAAGATCTAAAAACTTACTTTGAAAATAATAATAATAAAAAAGCTTAGATCACCATCAGTCACTGTGTAACCTATTTTAAGCCCATCAGAGCCAGCATGCTGTTCTCTCATTGCTAATTAGAAATGATAGATTAATCAATTAATCTCTCTTCCTGTCCCCTAGTCTTGGTATGAGAATTTTTCAAAGGGACAAATTGTAGTTAGGTGTCCACAACTATCATTTCAGCTCTGGAAAGTAGTATCTCTGTCAACATGAACTCAGACTTCCTTTTAGACTATGAAACAACAAAAAGGAAACCATAGGAAGCTTTGGTAGGTTGGAGAGTGCATCAGATTTATAATTTGGGAATGACTATACCATCTGTGCAGTAAATATTGCTACATAATCCTCCCTGGGCTCCAAACTTCCTCACTGATAGATAAACACGCCTCCATTAAATTTGGCAGAGAGATGTCCCAAACTGATGCCCTTGATTGAAACTCATTTGCAATATTTACTGTGGAGCAGACACACCCATTATTTGGGAAAGAAGCTATAGATGCAATTTGTATTTATTTGCATTGAACAGAGACAAAGCAAAAGGATCTGTTAGCCTCACAAAATTTCAGTGACACAAAGCAAGCCAATGAAATGAGTTATCTTTTTCTCTTTTCAATAGATGTATCACTAGGCAGTGAAATAGAATTGGGGTGTACAAGGTTAACAAGGCAGCATCATGTTATGAAGCAAGCGATAAAATTGTCTTATAGTTCTTAACTCTGACCTGTTCCAGTGAAAAGCTGCCAAGCAGAATTATGTCATCCTGAACATCCCTCTCAAACTGTTCGATATATGAAGGAATCACTTCATCTTCAACCTCTCTGTGAAGGTCACATGTCTTACTGGAGCTGACAGGCATCACGGAGTCTGAAAAATCTTCGCTGACAAGATAGGCTGCTTGAAAAGAAAGTGGCAGGTTATCTTTTAGTAAATGGGATTTTAATCTCTGATTGGTACCCCTCAGTTACCATGTTTGGCCCATCAAAATTTTAGGACAATTGCTGATACCATAGGACAAGCACAAATAAGTAACAACACTTGAAAAGGCAAATTCCAATCATTACTGCCAGGAAAAGCATCCTTAAGAGCAACATTTGTGTACAGGAATAAGAAGCAAGATGTACAATTTGCTGTATAATCATTTTACAAAGTGTGCTGTGTCACAGTCACTTTACTCCCATGTAAATCTAATGCTAAAGGAATTCTAACTAGAATTCTAAAAATTACTTTGCCTTATACTTTTATGTAAGATCAGGAATAACAGAAATTCAAAGGATTTTTAGGCCACAGCAATCACTTCATCTTCTTCCCACTCATCCTGGAGGATTGAATTCCACCCCCCAGGTGTGTGCACTCAGCTCACACCAAATTAATTGGGTCCAGTTCTGCTCTAACCCACCTCATTCCACTGATTTCACCATGATGATGTGTGCAGAACTAAAGGATACRTGCTGTATAGAAATAAAATTAAATCCCATTCATAAAGACTGATTTGAAGATGACCTGTTTTATTTTTCCAATGTAACAAGATACTTCAAAATATACCTTCTTACTGACATTGGCTATAGTTCTAAATACTAGTTTGTGTCAAAAATACCACAAACACAATTCTTTTGCTTATTTCTCCATGTTATGATCACTGAGAAATGATAGCTGGTTAGCCACCTCTCACGTCATTTTGCTTGCCTCATTTTTCTATGTATAAGTGCATGTCYTTATAACTCTGCGCTTTTTCTTTCTCTTAAAGAAAATGCCCTATCTAATTATTAGCCTTTCTCTTCCTCCATTCCAAGACATGAAAGTGGTTAAACCATTTTTTTTCTCATTCCCCTTTGAAGTCTTTCTTTCTCTAATGAAGACCAGAAAAGGAAAGATAAAACTAAGGCTATTAAAATCTTCAGTTTTGTGCACTGCTCATTGTTTAATGACTTTAATTGTTGAGCCTCTTGAGTACTTAAATCACCTCTGTGCCACCAACACACAGGAAGTAGTTTTTTATTTAATTACAACAGGATACAAATTCAAAATCATGTTGGGGGAAGCGTACAACAGATATAAACAACCCAAACAATTACCTTAGGGTACGCAAAACCTCTGCATGTAGCATCTTACAAGCCTAATGAAAAGTGATTTGACCTACAACTATTAACTGCCGAAACAAAACGATATTTACATTTAAATTTACTATAACATGAAGGGTTTGGCTAGGAGAGAGAAAATCCAGGAAGTGCTGGAAAAGAAAACATTGCCAACAGCAGAGGATGCTGCATTGCTTGTTCCYTTCCGTACTGTACACAACAGTCCATATGCTTAACTGGTATAAATCAGTTGCTTTACCGCTTTAACAGGAGCAATGCAAGTTTACATCTCTAGAGCACAGTACATTCCTATCTCAAATCTTCTGGTTACAGATAAATTTATATATTAAAAAAAGAATAAAAGTCTTCAGTATGTAAAGGCAGCCTTGCAGTGGTTCATCAAAACATCCTTTTTCTTTTTGAGTTTGTTTCTTTTGTGGGGAGTTACACTTAATGAATCTCATTTTGGTGGAAGACACTGGACTTATTAACATGAGCAAGAAGAGAAAAGTTTTCCAAAATCTTCTCAGGAGAAGTAACTGTTGAAAATATCCAGATAAACTATGATTCAGATTTAGAACAGATTTGATAAAACATTCATTGAAAACACAATCATAAAAACTGCTCATTAGACCAAGTTAGAGACAAAAGGAGAACTGGACTTTTCAGCTAATTGGTTTGCTCAGTGCTGGGTTTCCAAAAAACTTTTGACACACRGTCACCACCAGTTTGCTCTTTGGTGAATCAACACGTGGGCTAGAGACCTGAGTCATGATCTCATATRTAAGCTTGACCATAGTAAAGCCTCACCCTCTTTGCTGTCCAGAGATAGCCACAATGGTAGAACTGCTACTGCTTTATAAACACTACAGGAATTGGCTGAGAATTTACAMGGAAATTAATGACTAGATTGATCAATTGGTTAAAAACTGGCTTCTGCAACATGGTAACATATGCTGAAGTTTTAATTGCCTTGACAGTAGTTAAGAGTACAAATGCACTTATACACAAATACACTTCACTGTACTTAATAGTGTATATTGTACTTTCCATGCAATTTAAATAATTTGTTCTGCATACGATCCAAATATGATCACCAGGTCATACTGGCAGATGTTGTGCTGTAATTAAAATGTGTTCTCCAGTACTTGTTTAGATAATTTTGTAAGTGCAGCAGGCAATAGACAGGTCAGGACGGAAATTCAGCTTGCTCACAAGTGGGCTATTGAGACATCAGAGACCTCCCTCAAMTTGTGGTGTGCTTGGGCAATAGTAGCCTTTGAGTCACAGCCATGATTCAGGGAGTAACAAAACCCTGCCAGAGCAAAGTATTAGTCTCAGACAGAGTTTTGGCTCAGCTATTCCCACTGCTGAAGGGTTTCCCAAGTTCCTGGTGCCTGGAGCACCAGCACCTGGATGAGCAGGGCCAGCATGGCTGCCGGGGCTCGCTGAGCACCAGCAGAGCCCAAGCACAGCAAGCAGCAGTGGATTAACTGACAAACAAACAAACAAACAAATAAAATAGACTTACTTTATTCCCACATATGTTCATCAAATAGCAAAGGCTTGTCTATGAGGATGATAAGAATTTAAAAGCTAGGTCCACTGCCAGACTAGACCTCGGCACACCTCTGAATATTTAAAGTGATTCTAAATCCATGCAGAAAATGCCAATTTCCTGCATGGTTCTAGAAGACTGTTTACACGTTGCAGCTAGCAGTATAACACACAGCATGCATAAGTTGAAAACAAATAAAATACTGCAAAACATTTTGCTTTAATTCTTTGATTGATGATAATATAACAGAGAACATTTTTCTGCAGCATGATGTGATTTTAGACATGTGCAGGTCACAATCTAAAATTGTCTAATGGGTCCTCTCTCTGGGTAGAATGGGGACAGCCTACATCTTCCTCTGAAAAACAGGGTTGCTTTTTAGGTTGTTTATGATATGATCTAACATATACCACAGGCATGACCAACAGGTTTTTTAGTCACAATATGCTTTAAAACCTGTGATGATATGAATTCTGAGCTCTATTCTTTCCTTTGGGGATGATCTATTAATTAGGACTGTATAACTACGTGATTTTTCAGTTCAGTGGTCAAATAAAACAGGAGCAGTTCTGCAAGGAATGGAACCAAATGAACCCCACTTTTCTATAGATTTTGTGATGTCTAATAAGGGTCAAGTTCCCTTATCAGCTTTTCCCTCAGTGGAGACATTAATAATGCTTGTCTGCTCTGTTCAGCTGCCCAGTTCCATAGTACTGGTATGGAAGGTGTACCTGACAATTTTTGCTCATTGTTAAAAAAGGGAAATTTGGATGGATATAACAGGCTAAAAATTTTAGAGGAAGAATTCACAGACTGTCAGAAATATATGCAGCTAGATACACACAGAGACAGATGGAGACAAGCCTCACTTCCTTAAGAAAMCCCCCAGCTTAATAATCTGTTCAAGTCTTTATCCACTCAAACCAAAAAGAACATCAGTAACAAATTCACCTAGGACAGAAGGCAACATTCATCCTTGTCTTTTATTCTGATACTCATTGTGGCACTTTTAGCCAAAAAAAAAAAAAAAAGCACTGAGGCACTACTCAAAGTACATGACAATAGTTGCTACCGTTCCGATACTGCCCTCATGATTATGTACAAGGGCTGTGATTCTCACATGGAGTACAACATACTCATGTTAATAAAGTTTCTTGCCCTTGAATTCTGGATTTGAACTAAGTTAGTGAGTCGGCAGCTTCTGTTCTGGGCTTTGTAGCTGGTTCTGTGCACAGTTCTTGTCTGCTCAAGAGGCTCAGCAACTGCACTGTATGGTTTATAGTCTTCAAACCACATTGCAAAATTCAAATGTCTTCAGTCAGAAGACAGTTTTGTCTTCCCCTGTCCCATTCCCCAAGTAGTCAAATTGTATTAAGAACATTTTCAAATGTTCAAAAGTATCTGACCAGCTTTATTTATAAATATTTGAGGACACTACTGAAATCTTACTTTTTTTCCAAATCAGCTATTTGCTGACAGGATTTAATCCTGAGTATGTGCTCATCTTAATAATATTCATTACTATCATTTGTTATCCAGAGCATTAGAATACCCAACCAAGGTAGCGATCAGCCACAACTGGATGGGGGGGACTTCTCCTTTACTCCCCACCCCTCTACAAAGTTCCCCTGGCAGTGGGCAAGTGTCAGTGCAGCTCAGCTCACCTACCTTGGACCATGRGAAAAACAATGGTCAGGTCCACGTCAGTTGTATGAGATCCTTCTACAGTCAAAGGAAAGAAGAACCACTTCCACCAAATAATTTGTATTACTAGTCTAAGAAGCGTCCAGGTGAGGGGAGATGAACTCCTGTCCACAGGTGCTTCTCTCTCTCTCTCTCTTNCTCTTCTTTTTTTTTTTTTTTTTTTTTTTTAATAGCGAGCTCTAGCAGCTAATTTGCAGAAAGTTCACGTAAAGAGGAGAGTGTCCCACCCTGCCTCCCCGCTTTACCAAATGACAACATGGTATTTTCCTTAATGGAATGGTAGTATTTTAAGCTATTGAGGACCATGAATTGCTACAAATGTTGGTAGAGGGGGACAACATAAATACTGCAGACAGAGACCACATGCCAATATTTTCAATATAAACAATGTTGACTTCACCACAGCCAAGCATGTTTTTACTTTAATCTATGTTGTTATAGGGTAAAAGCAACAATCAACCTGCAGGACTGCTTTGATCTTTTTAAGTAATGCAGAGCTTCCCATTAGCACGCAAAAAAAGAGATGGCTTGCCAACAATTTGTTGGAGATTCTTTGCTTAAAATATCTGCATGAATTTAGCTATGGGGGTTGTACTTTCTTTCCCTTTTAGAGGGAATTTAAAGTCTTAGGATTTAGAGAGCATTTCAAGTAACACAAAATGGGTTTCAAAGATATTGTTGATATGCCTAGTGCCAGTTGAAGGGATTTTGCAAGCCTTGGCAAAGAAAAGCATTTGTCTCTTCTAGGAAAAAGTTGCTCACAAGTTCAATGATCGTAAAACATGTTGCAGCTCCTTGGGTGACAGTGCCATAGGCAACTGCCTTGTCTGTCTTTCTCACAAAACAGTCCCTGGATATAACTACTACGCAACAGCAAACCCCACACAGATACAAAAGAACAAAAAATACATTTACACAAAAGACTTTTGCTGAAAAAAGATGTGCATGTGTGTGGAAACAAGACTCAAAAAGACACAAGGCTAGCTCACTGAGTTTAAGGCTTATTCTTATGTAACTTCATCTGAAATAAAGTGGAGGAAAGAGGCAACACGTACAGGCTGCAAGGGTAATGCTCTTGTGTACCAACTGTATGTTAAGGAAAGACTGTGAAAATAAGGAAAGCCAAAGGCTGTAAGCTTGGAGTAACCTGTTCTCCTGCACTTTGTTGTTTTCACCGTAGGTGGAACATCAGCTTGGTATTTCTAACAAAGCCACAGAAAACATTTTCTTTCTGACCTGATACAATGTAAATCTTCATGCAGATAACCTCAAGCGGTATATCAGGTGGTCACTGAATATGACAAATGGCTCACTCATAAATGAGCTTAAATACGGATTTAAGTTTCTAACTTTGAGCACATAAGCAAGAACTTTTCCATTCTACATTCATTTGGATGGAATTAATGAATGGTGAAGCAACCCAAAGAAAACATGCCACTTAAGTTCCACTTAAAACCACATAAACATGAATCAAAATGAAAACATTTGGGGAAAGATCTTGCAGGCTCACTTTAAAGACAACATCCCGTTTGCTTTTCAGTTCAAGGATATAGATAAGCTTCTGCCCTCTGCTCAGGCTCAATAGAGACTTTTTTTTTCTTTATGCAGCATTATTATATTATTTACCTTGGGAGTTTGCCATCTTGCTTTCTTCATCCAAAAGCTTCATCAGTTTACCATACAGGATTTGTTCAGTAAATTCCACAGGATCTTTAAAAAGAGTGGAAAATCCATTTTTTTCCTTAGTAATATTTCAGGAAATGTTACTTCATATTATAAATAAAGGTATATACATTCAGAAATTAATAAATACTTTGACCTTGAAAATTAGTTTAAAGAATTGATCATTGCAAATTGAGTGTAATTTTCTTTTCAGTTWTGGAAAGTAATTTAATATCAAAAATGTATGAGTGCACACTTTTGAAGGATGTGCAATATTATATCCTGATTTGGACTAAAACCAATTTTGTAATTCTGTTAATAATCTTTTTTAAATTATTATTTATTTTCAAATGATAGCTGAATTCTATTTGAATTCTTAAAAACTTTTTTTCTCTAATACGATTTTGAATCTTAGAAATTTTACCTAGCTGTCCATGATAACAGATTATATAGCATGTGTAACCATTACAGTACCCCTTAATTTTTGTTCTGTAGCTAGTCATTTGCTAATAATATCTACAGATACAGAAAGAGAGCAAAGCTCACACACATCTTTTTTTTTTTTTTTTTTTTTTTTTTTTTTAAATGAGACGTAAAAACGCCCCTGGAGTCTGTACTCAAGAAGGATCACCCATAGAGACTTGTCCTCTCTCCAGGCGTCCCATACCCTGGCTCCTCTAAGTCTGTTGTGAAAACCAGCAAGTTAAAGAGACAAAGTGTATGAAAAAGGGATCAATTGTGAGCAATGACTTTGGATGCCCCCTTTTAAGTGTTTGATTTTTCAAAGGTTTACCATAAAATTACAGTGACAAATTTTCAGTCTAATGGGGTATTCAAAAATTGAGTCCTCTGCAAAACTCTACTCTTCTCAAAGCACAGTTCAGTACCTTTTACAATTCTTTTAGCATGTAAAATTGAAACATTGCCTTGGGGAAAGAAAGGCAAATCAATAATTGGGGTATTGTGAGGTGTTGTTTTTTCTCAAAATATTATCAATTCAGATGAATTTTCATAACAAATTTAATTTCTCAAATATAGAAAAGATATTTGATAATATCTTCATTTTCTCAAAATAATCTCATATGATGAACACTTAAGTAATATTTTAAAGTAATATTTAAAGCAATAAAGTAATAGTTAAATAATAATATTTAAATAATAATAAAGTAATAAAGTAATATTTAAGTATACTTAAAATTGTTTGATGCAGTTAGTGACTGAGGATTTGCTTTTCTTTAGCTATTCTCTTTGGGTTTGACTTGGTTGAGAACTAAGAGGAGTGTAAGTTTAAAGCGTGCATTAAAGTACCTTGTTCTGCTTTGTCTCTTATTAGTAGCTGACTGCTAGAAGGAAAGAGGAGGTAAATGTGTATGGTATCCCGTAAGAGGATGACCGTTGGTTCTGACTTTCCTTTTAAATATGTCTCTTACATACTTATAAACACCTCAAGGAAAGGAAATCAGTCATTGAATATGGTTATGACTACATGTGACAACTGGTTGTGGAGATGTGTGGTATCAAATCAAGCAAGAGAAAGAATCACAGGAACTCAAGGCCAAAAGTTGACATACTACTCACATACTATATTCCCCTGCTGAGTTATGCTAAAGAACTTAGGAGRAGACCATGGAGAACCCCACATATACAGATATGTAAAAAGTATCACAGGCAAAAGACAAAATTCCCCCTTAAATATTTAAATATGAAAGGACTTTAGAAAATTTTAGTAGTACTCCATTACATTACTGAAGAACAATAATGTTTTTATGCCTATTTGATTCAATAGTGCATAGTACATGATAAAGCAAAGCAAAATTCACCTAAAATCGCCATGTCTGTCTTTAGTCTTGCCTTCAGTCCACAAACCAAAAGGCCCTAAGACAAGGGTGAAGAACTGAAAATGACAAAATGTACATAGAAGAGGAGGAAAGAACAGAGGTCCTTGCTTCAGAAAATGCCATAGATTCAGACAAATAGCCTGAGGTGGCCGCCATTGCCAACAGGCTTTAAATAAATCAACAGACATTGCCCTGCAATGCTTCTGCCAGGGCAGAAAAAGGAGAAATGCCCAAGGACAGTCATATCACCATGGCTCTCTTGGACAGTCTGGCCTGATACGAGAGAACATTTTCTCCTGACAAAGACTTTACTTCCACACATTTTGCATGTCACCACTGGATCTGTGCRTGTATTTAAGTGCGCAGACAATGAAGAAACCTAATTCACTTCTCTCTTTCTGTATATGAGGCAGATCATGACTCAGGAAGCCAATTTATTAGAAGATGAACCAAAACATTACCAACAGAAAGAAAGTCTTTCATGTAAAAACTTAGGGCCAAAAAYTGAATTCTGTTTCCAAGAAATCACAGTGTTGTTCCATACAAGGCACAGGAAAATGAAGGGTGTTAGAGGCAATTTGCCTAGGAAACCTAAAAGAATCTTGTCTTTTTTTTTTTTTTTATATTCCRAGAAAAAGAGAGTCAAGACATTGGTGTGCGTTATAGTCTGCTTTTCTCTTAGTTCAATATGATTTTTCCTCAGAAATTCAAATCGTTATGATTAGCTACACAAACTAAAATGTAATGTACTTCACAAGCCATGGCCTATTTTGAGATCCAGCACAGTAGGCAAATTTTCCAGTCTATCTAAACTTCAGATTTGACTACTACTGTGTGTGTCCAGATAGGTACTGCTAAAAAAAGAAAAAGGGAAGGACTAGAAAGGTAACACAAGAGAATAGTGTCTTGCGTGCTATCAGGTTGTTAGCACTGAACAGCAGGAGCTGGGCCAAAGCACTCAATGCATAGCTAAGCACTTCATTGCCATGATGATGWTCTTTCTTAAGTCCATGCAAATTCAGGCAAGCCCGTTCGCACCCTTTTTTATCTAAAAGCCACAACAGCAAAGCAGGATTTCTTCTGTTCACAGGGAAAGACAATACTTCCCAGTTAATCTCTCTCATACCTATGCATAACTTCTGTTCTCCTAGTAGTGCAGAGTCACACCCTCCCAGCTCCTTGCTATCCGGAGCTTAGGTACCACCTGCAGACAACAAAGTTAAGCTTTTCGGACAAAATGTCAAAAATAAAACAAGAACTACAACCTTATGTGCTGGGAACACTTACATACTTTAGGATTTCTCTTCTCTTAGGCAAACATAGTTCAGCCCAAAAATAACTTCCTCTTGAACGACGACTTTGGGGTTGAAAAAAGAAAATTCAGCTTAGTACCCAGTTCTGGACTGACTACATTAATTAAAGAGAATGTGGTGCAGACAATTTTCTTGGAGAGTGCTTCATTCTATTGCTATAATAGCTAAGTGAATACCGCACAATCTCACTTTCACTTGTCCATTAACTCTCTGTCCTTGATCAAAGACTGTTTATACTGCCCATCATGTTCATAGTGGGTAAGGTTTATAATTTAAATTGTAAACCTCAATATTTAAATGGAACTGCATATGTGATCTTTGTCACCTCATTTTCATGAATGGAAAAGAATATTCTGACACCAAAATTACATACTTAATTCTGTCTCACCTTCTTCACTGACCTCCATCCCACACTGCCTTGGGTTTATTTCCTCATCCATCAACGGGTCAAAGTAATTTCTGCTGTATTCATTTCCTGTGGAAAGCACATGAAGTAAGGGTCAGCGATTATTAGAAGCACATGAACCAAAATGTTAATTTTGAAATCGACACCAGCAAGCAAAGGGGCATTTTTGCTACTTTATAAGCTTAATTTTTTAACAAGTCCTCTAAACCCACTAGTACCGCAATTATCATCTTGTAAAAGGTCAGAAAAGGTAATTCTGGAAACAAGTGCACTTTATGTTACTTTGCTCAGAAACTAATGAGAAAAATACTCAAATTTAGATAATGAAATGATARGAAACATTAAAAAAAACCCAGCATCTCAAACTTAAGTCAAATTATTCTTGAAACACATTTTACGAGTGAATTTACCCATGCTGCAGGGAAATTTGTGTTTCACAGCTGACCCTTTCAATTTCAACAGTTTTAAATTTCACCACTGAGGTTTCAACGTCTGGTGCATCTTTAATACTGTATTCAACCAGAAAAGTGTTTAATTACAGAGGAGATACTAGAATACTGCCTCATTAATCTGAACAGCAATTATATTCAGTTGGGCTAGGTAACTAATCTAAGATTTTGATGGGAGAAAAACACTCATTTTAGCACTTTCCATTTCAATAGCTAGGTTTATCTGCCTTCAAAAACTAATCAAGTTTACCCAAAAAAGTCATTTGTTAGACTTATCATGGAATAATGCAGCATCTAACTGCCTAGAGAATCTTCCCATTACATCAGTGAGAATTGTTTCATCAGGCAGAAGGGAGACCTTTCACTCAAAAATGCTAATCTCCATTTAATTCATCCTTAGAYATATCAGGTTTGCAAACAAAGTCAATTATTACTAATCTGAGAAAAAAAGKAAAATGATTAAGTCCAAACCAATTTTTTAAATTGTGTAAATAGATACAGACCTATATCCTGGAAAATACCTGAGAGCTAAATATAGGAGTGGGTTAAGTCATCCAAGATACACTACAGTAGTCTACAGTATATTTGTTTTAGGATCAAAAATAATCCAAGCAGCAGCTCCTTTTCAGAGACTAAATGAAACTTTGATATGAAACTAGGTTTAATTTATATTTCTGGACTGGCACATTTTGACTGTCAGTCTCTGTTCCTTCAATGTAGTAAGTACAAGAACTGAAAATTTGCTTTACCTTGAGGTCTCAATAAAGAAAAAATAAATGAGTTTCATTTTTGTTACTTTATCTGTCAACAACTACTAGGCTGGTATGAATCTTGGCAGTATGTAATCAAAGTCTTATGTACTGCAATAACAGAGCCATTCTACTCTATTCACTGTAATTGTTTTTCTCTAGCACAAAGCACTGTAATGTTATATGAACACCCCTTCACGTGTTGGTAGAATAATTCACCCATGTGCTAAAAAAGAAAATGATGATGCATCTCTTTATTCAATTACTTTCTAGCTATGAATGTAAATTTCTGAGAAATACACATTGCAGCTACGGAAGCAAAATTTGGCTAGCAAACAGACTTTTTTTTGCTATGTCTTTATATCACAGTAGCTTTTACTGAATTTTAATACCATGTGTTTGTTATCCTATCATTTGGTATTGAACAGACAGACAGTAGATTTCTAAAGAACTCTTCTGGACAAAATAATTGGCATTTAAGAGGAAGTGTCATGTTAGATTTGAGTTTATGAAGCATGGACTCTAAAAAGTGATAAACAGCTAAGTGCTGTTAAACTACTTGTTCTTTTTTTTTTTTTAACATCTTTCAGAAGTGTATTTATTTGAGTTATTTTGTTCAAGGCTCTGGCCCTGTCAAGACCAAAAACAATTAGAAACACAAAGCTTACAAAGTATAAAGAATGACCAGGGTTGATTTCTCTAAAACAAAAAAGCAACATATACACTTTAAAGACTGTATAAGCGCAATAAGTGAGAATGCTGACATTAACTCATTATGATGCTTCTTAAAGATAAAAAAAAAACTATTTTAAACTCAGGGTTCCCCAGAAGACTTGCAGAGTCTTTCTAAGGGGTAGGTATCATTGCCAACCTTAAATTATTAGCTTTGTCCCCCCTCCTCTCCATCACCTCCCCAATTGCAGGCAAGTATGCTTACTTTGCAAACTGAACCATAAATTCCAGTTGTGCCCAGGTCTTGGCTTTGGGCAGGCCTTCGAGTGTGAAGGAGTGGKGGCTATTTTAGTTTTAAAATGCAGATTTACCAATTTTAGTCAACATAAAATGCTGCCAAAGGCATTTTGCTAATAATATTTTGCAAGCATGTGAATGGATTACTAATCATTTCACATTTGCTTTTGGAAATATTTGAAAGTGTAGAACATRTAAATTAACAGTCCACTGAGGAATTTACATCGCTATGCTTCATGGTAAAAACACAGTAAACGTTAATACAGTGCTTGCTTGCAGGGATTTTCAAYAGCAGTGCATAACTTAGTACTTTCAGACCTCAAGTTAACTTGGAATACTTTCCCTGGTGAAGAGCAGGCCAGTTCAGACACACAGGTTTTTCCTTTGATCTGTTCAAAGATTTGACCAAACCCAATAATTCAATCTGAAACACTGCTCACCCCTCAGTATTGTATTATTTCATGTGGAAAACACAATAGATAGTTCAATAACATCAGAATTCAAGCACAAAAAAGAACATAAAATAATTGCAAGTTCAAATAAAAATGGCAAGAAGGGTGTTGGCACAACAGTGATCAGGTGGGAATTTATGCAGTTTTAATTAAAGTAAGAGGAGTTGCTAATAAAATTAGCATAATCCTTGGATGCAGCCCATGGGACTACACACATTACTGAGACTGGATAAAACTCTAAGATGGCTTTTAAGATAAGATGTCTGCAGTCAATTATGCAGTCTATGTCCTGAGAGTACCACAGAAATRGCACAACAAGGCCCCTTTTCTACAAGGTTTTCTACTCCATAAAGAAATCAGATAGTTTGCATCGGTATCATATCATAAGTACAGCTAGGAATTTTGATGACATTGAGGGAATTATTCCGTTGTCCTTCATACAATGCCATTGATCTAGGTGTTGAGTTTAATGAAAGAATCATGAAAAACAAAGCTGCACAAGAGAAAAACAAAACTCTCAAACACCTGCATGGAAAAAAAAAACTCCACTGGATTTGTCCAGCATCTCCTGACTGATATAAAAAGTAAGGAATTATTAATAACCAGGTGACTGGTGACTAAAAATTTAGAATAATACTCCTTGRCAATGGTTTTCAGAGTGATTTAGGGTCTTGAGAAAAGTGAAAAATTCAGACATTAGCAAGCTTTCACTATGCAAAAAGATGCAGATAATGTTGTGAGCTGACTTGCCTCACTGATCAGTAGTTATCCTGTTTCAGGTAACAGTAGGTTCAGCAGATGTATCTATCCACAACTCAGAAGGACACTACCACACTTCTTCATAGGACAACTCATAAAGTCTTTTGCATAAAATAGAATAAGGCACAGGGATCTTGGAAAAGATCCCTCTCAGACTGAGATAGAAGAGTTTTGACCCAAAGCACTTTTGAAACATAATGAAAGAGCTGGGAGTGGAAAAGCAGTCTGCTTTTCCATGCAGGTGTCTTACAGAATTGATTTCAGGACCAGTTCTTGTTTGTGGATATCATGATAAATCTTCACTGTCCATTCTACAGAACTTATTTTCCAAGTGATATTTCCCTTTTTACTTTGCAGATATTGTTCTTTTGGTTAGGCCAAATATAACAATCCATGTTTGCAGATTTCTCAGTATCTGCATTAGAAGAATATGTAAACTCTTCAGCTTGAGCCAAAGTAACCCTGGGGTCAGACCTGAATTCCCTTTAAGAGGACTGTTTATCTTAGCTAGGCCACCAGCAAATAACGTTTGAGATCAGAAGAAAGGGGAGAGAGGGACCCTACCTCCCACACTTCTAATTGCTTWCTTATTCAYCCCTTCTCAAGATACTCTGCATCTTGAGAAGGGCACACTCATTCACCCATTTCCTCAGTTCAGTTTCTACATCTATGGAAAAYAGTCTGGGAGTTTCATAGAATCATAGAATGCTTAAGGCTGGAAGGGACCTCARAGGTCATCGAGTCCAACCCCCCTGCTCACGCAGGGTCACCTAGAGCACATGGCACAGGGCTGCATCCAAGCGGGTTTTAAAGATCTCCAAAGAAGGAGACTCCACAACCTCTCTGGGCAGCCTGTGCCAGGGCTCTGTCACTCTCACTGTCAAAAAGTGTTTCCTTAAGTTCCTGTGGAACTTTTGGTGCCTCAGCTTGTGGCCGTTTCCTCTAGCCCTATCTCTGTCCACCACTGAAAAGAGGCCGGTCCCTCCTCCTCACTGCCTCCCTTGAGGTATTTATAGACACTGATCAGGTCCCCCCTCAGCCTTCTCTTCTCCAGGCTGAACAGGCCCAGCTCCCTCAGCCTTAGAAGTTTGAAAGTTTGAAACTTTGACAAGAAAACACATCACAAGAATTTCACAAGAAAGTTTTATATTGCTAAACTTACATCGAAATGTTAARGAGTTGCTAAAAATGAACCCTGAGTTTTGAAGAATTCTATGAATTGACATATAATCTCCAAAGCAAGAGTAATTCTCAGTTCTCATTTTTCAAGAAAAAAAAAAGGAATTATTCTGAGCTAACCTGAAATTATTTTTTTGTTTCATGTTTAATTTTAGATTCAGAACCAAGATATCAATTATGCTTACCTCAGCTAGTATCCTTAACAAATGCCATTACTTAAATTTATAGAGGCTGATCTATGTTATATCTAGAAGTTAAAACAAGACATATTATTATTATTTTACATTTAGATCTAATATCATCATTTGTATTTTAAATATAGTATATTATCTATATTATTTAAGATGTAGATCTAAAATGGGATTCCTTAGAACCATGAAGTTATTCCAGATTATCACCAAATATATCAGGGGATGCAATGTTTTACATAGAACTTCAAATTTTAATGAGTTCCAGGAAGAATTCAATGAAAAATTATGCTTTAATGGCATCCTCAAACCGAAGAACATTAA